TTATTTTTTGAGAGACACTAGTGAGGTTGGTGAAGGTCGTTGACTGGGTTGGAGAAGCATAAGGCTTGTGTGGCTGCTGTGAGGGAGACTGACTTTTCTCCACCAGCCTTTTGGTGTGTTAATACTGTGCTATAAACATTAAGTTATTTGAAGAATAAGGTAAGCTTCGTAAAGTTTATTTATTTATTTATTTATTTTTGGTTTTTCTCCGGTACCGGGAACCGAACTCACGACCTTGCCCTTGCCAGGCAGGCACTTTTAGCCGCTGAGCTAAATCCCCAGCCCCTGTAAAGTTTAAACATAAATGAATAAAAAGAAGTATATTGTGCATTGTCTGAATAAATGATTAATCCCTTTGTCATTTAAGGAATATTTCCATCTGCATGTCCACTGCAGTGCTATTCTCACAGCAGGCAAGATGTGGAATTAACTTAGATGTCAATTGATGAATGAGTGAGTAAAGAAATTGTGTGTGTGTGTGTGTGTGTATGTGTGTGTGTTTGTGAGTGTATTGTTCAGCCATAGAAAAAGAATAAAATTTTGTCAGAAACAGTAATATATTCAGAACATTCCTTTTCTTTGTAACATTAAATTACTACTTTGGGGTTTTTTTGGAAAGCTGAAAACTTTATTTCTATTTTGGTGTAAGGTTAACTTTTTGTGGTACTTGCTAAATACAAATGCCATAGATTAACAATTCTTAGTGGCTGAATAATTGATGATACGAATGGTGAAACTTCTCTTGTTCCGGAGGAGTAATTCTATAGTTTTAGAATGCTTCTTAGTGCATGTAATAGAATTCAAGTAATTCTAAACTTGAAAACCTTGCTCCATTAGGATCATATTTTCGGTATTAATTACCAGGTGGTCACACCGTGGGAAGATGCTCACTATGGGATTGAAGCAAAACCTGAAGCTGAAAGGTCAATACATCCTGACAGTTCTGCACTAGTATTCCTGTCTCTGCAGGACTGTGTCCCCTCACTCATAAATATTGTACAGGTCCTTATCCTGAAATTTAATAAGGACAGTTAACTTTCACATTGAGGAAAAGTTTTTATGGAAATAGATTAAGGCAAAATCAGTTGCATTCTTATGTTTTTTCTTTACATTGCCGTTTTGGGGTGGCCTCAATTCTATTTTTAAAAAATTGCCACCCTTACTCTGTTCTGCTTCTGCAGAGTTAAGAGAAGATGTGGGAGGGGAGAGAAGGGTGGAGAAGTAAAAAGAATTACTCTGTGTTATGTGCCAGCTCCTAACAATGAAAGTAATCATTATGTACTGCAAATGTGGATGAATAAACAAAAATGAAAATAGAACTATTCCTTTTTTTCAGAATATGCCATTCTTGCTACATTTCCTAAGGTATTCTATCTTTTAGAGACAGAAAGACACACTAACCTAGATAAAGAAAATTTAGAACTCAGTGGTTATGGTACATTTTTGCAGATGAGTGCTATCTTACACTTCATGTGGGCAAACACCAGTAGATTGTCAGGAAGCACCCTGGAAAAGAGCAGTAGAAAGGAACTGATTTCAGACTAGTTTAAAGAAGCATAAAATACTGGGCTTCCTTGGTGACCACCAGAAGGGCATTAACTTTTTCAGGGACTGAGTCGGTGTGTTGTTCTCTTGTTCTTCTGTTCTCTATTCTGGAGACATCCTTGGTTTATCTGAGTGTCCTGAATTTCCTTACTAGTCACACTAGTGTTGAGGTGGAGCAGAAAATATGAATGCAGATTGAGATAATGATTGCATTAGAAGAGGAAAGGTCGCCAGGGTGGGCATCTTTCACAGACGCTTGGAGAAGACTAATACTATTGGATGGTAAAGTATGGGGAGATCTTCTGCTTGGAATAGCCTATGTGGGTTTGCAGTGTCATGGCCTGGAGAGTAGTAGATAAATACCGATGCTGAAAATGCGGAGAAGTTCAAGCCAGGTAGAGCAAATCATGTAATTTACTGTTGTAGTCAATTAAAAAATCCAGGATAAAGCTGGATTTGTAAACTTAAGCTTGATCCTCAAGACATAGCTCCTTTCTACCTCTTGGCTCTGTTTTCAGCCACGTGGGTTTCATTCACAGATTGTTGGGCAAACTGGCCCCACTTGTCACAGTCCCATCCCCAGTGGCAGAGACTCTGCATAAGGCAGCATCTCAGGATTCTGTCTTCTTGGCTTTGGTTTCCCTCCTCTGAGTCCTGTACTTGTCCCTGTGAGTATCATGGAGCCCAGATCCATGTCTTAAGTATTGTATCCTCAGTGACTGGTACAGAATATTGCACAACTCTGTCAGACCCTCCATATATGAAGGTTATACCACCCTGAAAGCCGCTTTTGCATTTGAAGAGCTACTCTAATCTGTTCCAGATTTTAACTGATTTTTTTTTCTTGGCAGAATTAGGTGACTTGTTGGATAGACTTAATATGATTACTGCAATTCAAGAATCTAAGAGTTTATACCTGTGCGTTATCAAGACAAAAACTTTATAGTATAATTCAGGAAACAAGAGGCAAAAGAGTAACCTTAATCACATGGCATCTGAATATGATAAGAGATCTATTAAGAGGCAAGAGATCTACTGGCAGGAAGAGTTTTAATTTCCTGGGAATCTCACCAAGCAAGAGTAGGAAGTGTAAGGAGAACACGGGTGTTGATTGAAATGAGAGAATTTGAATAGTGCAGTACCGTGCTGTTAAAGAGGAGGGGGATGTCAGTGATGCTAAAATTATTGCCTTCACAGTTGTGACCTAACAGGAATTTGAACATTGTGAGCCTTAACAATACATTGTCTAAAATTCCTCTTAAAAGGTATTTAAAATTAGTGGTCTAATGGGGCATGTAAAATTGTTATTAAATGTAATGAGAAAAAAGTAATGTGAATATGAGAAATCCAAAATGTAAATAAATAAATAGCAAAATGAAAGATCGATAATAGGAAATAGGAAGGTGGAACTTTCGTAAAAGGAAAGGGGGCCAAGAGATGAAGGCAGGGAGAGGAGGGGAAGGAATAATAGAAAAATGAACTGTGTCCACGGACCACTCCCCACATGAGTGTCCTCACTGTGTACTGCAGACATGGACTCACAAAAGAGGAAAAATAATTACCGAAAGAGGAGAGAAAGTACTGTGAAATACTAGCAATGTTAGTAATCGTGTCAATTCCCAATTCTTGGTTTTCTGAGTTTAATAAAAAGTAAAGGAAGCTCCAGACACCATGGTACAATAAGAGAAAATGTACCCAGTTACTTTAAAAAAAAGCTTTTGTGTAATGATGGCCATTTTCCAATGGAAAACTAATTTTCAAAATTATTTTTCGTTTTTAGTTTCTCCTGAATGCCAACATTGCCCCAGCAGCCTTTTGACAGTGCAGAAAGATAAAGGCAAAGGAGGTGCCACTAGCAGTGACGGCACACAGCTTGATGCATTTCCGTCGTGCTTGTTGTTCATGTTGCATAGTCTCAAACTTACTGATGTGGACCAATTTAAAATGAATTCACTGACATAAACCCCAGCTCTCAGAGCTCTAATTGCCTGGGAAGTGGCAAGAATGCAGCATTTGAATTCACTGGTCCTGAGATTAGAAGGTGGTGTTGATTGATATTGATTCAAGGGAACTGTAGCTTCATTTAAACACATGTGATGTTTATTGGAATAATAAGGTTTAAACTTTTGCAAGACTCATAATTGAGCTTTATGGCAGTTTTGGTTATCGTGCATGAGTGTATAGTACTTGAATTCTGGGGAGCATCTTTATAAACATTCTACCATGTTATCCAAGCTGGAGATTTGTAAGAATACAGTGTAACAGGTGGCATGGTGGGGTTTCGGTGTGGGGAGCCTGCTCGTGGACCCCAGGATCAAACTGCTTAGCTACTTACTTAGCTGGGTGGCTGTTGTGTTAACTAACCTGTCTCTGGCTTAGTCTCCACAACTAGAAAGCACGGTCAGTGATACCCTGACCTTCACAGAGATGTTGTGGGGATTACATACTTCATACGGGTAAAGTACCTAAAACAGAACTTTAAAAGCATTTGCTCTTATGAGCACTTCCTGTAAATCATTGCAGTTTTGCTTTAGGATGTGTACAATATTAAAATGCCATGTCAGAATAGCTAGAAAAGCCATATGAGGAAGTCTGTGGTAAGTTCACATTTATAGCACAGGAAGCTCAGCAGTTGAAGCTAGACATACGGCCTTTTGTATGTGCGCTTGAGGACACATTCCTCACTACGGCAGATGAGATTTCTGAGCACGTCCGGAGAGTGATCTGAATCAGAGCGGATGATGATGCTTAGGAAATGCGGGTTCCTGGGCCCCAACTCAGACCCACTGGGCAGAATTCCTGAGAGCGGGAATTGGCATTTGAACAACTCCTTGGGTTGGCTCTTATGCAAGGCAGAGTTTGAGAACTGCACGGCTGTTTGTGATTCCGTCTCATGTTGTAATCTCACTTTCACTCTTTCTCACTTTGAATGTCAGGTATCTTAATTCTCTCAAGTTCTATCACATCTGTTCAAGGATTTGAAATTTTTCTTTCAGAATCTCAGTAACAAGTTTTAAGTTACTACCTCATTGTCCCTTCATTCCATACTGTTTTTCATAAGCCCTAGGTATTTTTTGCCCACTGTGTGTCCTAAGTGGGGCGTAAAATCATTCTGCTTTAGAATTCCACAAAAGATCTTCTCCACGAGGCTGTGATTCGAGTGGACCCACAGGAATCATGGGGAAGCATGCCTCACCCATGCTTTGCTTTTTTCCTTCCTGTTCTCTTGTTTTTTCCCTTTGTTTTCCATGAAGATTCCTGGATTAGAAGACAAGACACAGTTTGTTTGCAACTGGTGAAGAACTTTTATTTCTTCTCCCGGGTCCCGTAGGCTTGCTTAGAGAGAAGAGACAGGCATAGGACATGGCCTGGTCCTCCAGGGCCTGCTTTCCCTGGCTTCCTTCCAAACTCTGTATCTCTGTCTCTGGATTTTGCAGTTGACAGTGTGTGACACTCATCGTTCCATCTCACACTGGGCTCTTTGAATGGAGTAGACTGAGAAAACTCCATTTAAACCCGAAAAGATTTCAAGAATTCGTGTATTTGGTGATTTCTGAGTAGAAAGGTACGTGTAGTCAAGCAGAAATACCACATGCATGAAAATTTTATCACTTCTTGGCCAAGGTAAAGATAAATAGGAATCATTTTGGCTCTTGGAGTACATAATATAACTCTCCTCTAAGAATGCATGAACTCGTTATGTTCATGTGACTGCTCACATAGACCCATTGGAATCTTAATGATCCATGAGATAAATTGTCCACATGTTCAGAGGTGCATCTACATCACAAAACAGTGTGCTTTCAAGAGGCCACTGTGCTGCTGTACTCTTGAAAGCAGTTGAATCACAGAGCACGAAAGGTAGGAACAATATTCATGACTCACGAACACATGTTGTGGGAAGAAAGCTGTAGAGTTACAGAAAAGAAGGTAACACACACTCTTCTTATTTGCTCAGTTTGCTTATTTTAAAACTGTGGACATTTTCTAAGATGTGACACTAGTATTTTACTAAAATGGAAGAAATTGAAGTTTTCAAAATTTACTTCTTTGAAAAGATTAGCAATTCCTTGCAATAACTAAAATTTTTTAAAAATCTCAAGACCAATTTAAGGGAAAAGTAGGCACCAGCCAAGAAATCTATTTGTTGCTAAAGCTTTAGCGTCAACAGTTTTAGTTTTGGCTAAGCCAAATTATTTCATCTGAGGAAAGTAGACTTTCTCTGCTTTTCCATGTTTTCCTTAGACTAACGTGTGTCAATAAGTTTTAAAAGAAACTAATAAAGTTTGGCTTATGAATATTTTGACATAGAAGCTAATGAAGAAAAAGTAAGTACAGTCGAAATAGTAAAAGAGGAGCCATAAAAAGAGGAGAGATAAAGGTTTTACCTTAACTTCTGAGTTGGATGGTTTACTACTTGGTTTTATTTATGTCTTTGTTGTTTACTATGTAATCATGCACTCTGTTTATGTCTGTGGACACAAGAATCTAAAGAAAATGTAGCACATATGACTTGGGATTTTTTCTTTTTTCCCATAGGGATGCCCTCTACAACTTTATTAGTAAATCTTCTTTCAACTTTACTCATCCCTTTCGTATTTGGAGAAACAGAAATAAGGTTTGCTGGGCACACAGAATTTGTTGTTAATGAAACAAGTACAACGGTTATTCGTCTTATCATTGAAAGACTAGGAGAGCCCGCAAATGTTACTGCACTTGTATCGGTAAGAAATGGTTGTAGGTCTTTTGTCGATTGTGTATTTTAAGTGGCCATTTAAAAGGAAACATGGCAGTAAAAAAAGAACCATGATTTCAGTTAGAGAGTTCTTGCATAGAGTATATTAATTTAGATAAAAGTTAAGTAGAACTTGTAAAACTATTGACTTGTCTTGCATACAGTTTAGTTTTTGACTAGATTGTATGGGGCGTGGGTATATGTCCCTGTTTTTGAGACTCACGTACTTAAAGTTTTTGTTTGTAAAAATAAAAATTTCAGCAATAAGGTAAATTGCTGTAATATGAAACACTGTCAAAAGAAGAAGAAAAGCTGCGTGTGAAATCAACCCAGTGTCACAATTTTGTGTATTGCTTTTAGCTTTTATTTATGATATATAGACATGTATTTATTGAATTTATTTTTCATTTGAGTATACATCCTATTTGATAGTGTTTTAATATTATTTCAGTTGTATCCTAATAGGCTTTTGTTATTTTCACTTTTGTTGATAGTATTATCGTTATGTTTTCTTAGCCCCAAACTGCTCTCACTGAGGTTCCAGCTGCAGTTAAGAATGTTATTCTGATGAAACTGTTTATATACATATCTATTTAGAGGGTCGGGGATATAGCTCAGTGGCACAAGCACCTGCCTGTCAAACGCAAAGTCCTGAGTTCGATTCCCAGTACCACACACAAAAAAAGAAACTGCATATTTATTTTGTATTGTTAAGTGATTTTTATAGCTTCATTTCTGTGTTTTTCTGTTCATTTCAGTGGCTCTTGATAATGTGCCATTTTCCTACAGTAATATATAAGAATAAGTTTTCCAATACCCTTGACAATTTATTTTGATTTTTAAAGTATTTAAAACAATTTATCTCTATAAATTAGAACTAGATGTTTACTAAAATTTCCCTATACATTTTCTTCATTTTTGTATGTATACATTTTTTGTATATATATTTTTGTGTATATATGTGTAATTTATACTGGCCTAATTACTCATTTCAAGTTCTTAAGTGAAAGAAATCTCATTTGGATTTGCACAATAAACTGTTACTTCATAATTTCATAATGTTACTTCCCTGAGAAGCTTATCAGCAATGCTGATTTTACACAAAAGAATCTTAAAATTAAGAAAAGTTTATAATCACTAAGAAGTTTAGGATGCTGGGAGAATTGGGTCTTAATTGGAATTGCTGTAGGACAACATAAATACAGCCTCAGGTGGAGAGTTTTGGAAAGAGAAGTTTCTTTCAAACCAGTTGGAGAAGGAATTGATTTCCTTGCGAGCTTCCAGTGGGCTGCGTCCACCTCTTCTTTGGGAGTTTCAGCTGCAATGTGTTGTCCTGTTAGGGTCGCTGTAGTCCCCTCCAGATCAACCAACCGTCAGAGAAAAAAATCTACCACGTGACTTTTCTACGCAATTATTAGTTTTCTGTGTAATGATTTCTTTTCCTTCCACAATATAAATACTTACATGTGGAATTATTTATTCCTGCAACCTTTTCTTTTCTGGAGATGACTTTTATCATTGGCGAAATGCTTATGTTTTTGTACATTGCCTGTAAATCTCAGCGCTACTTGATCTTTGCATTTGCTTTCCATCGATCCGTTTAGTGTCAGTTTTGCTTGTCCTACCTGTGTTAAATAAGAAAGACCACCTCTGTTTTGCATTTGATAGCTGCATGGGGAAGACACTGGCGACTTTTTGGACACATATGCTGCAGCTTTTATCCCTGCTGGAGAAACAAACAGGACAGTGTACATAGCAGTGTGTGACGATGACCTGCCAGAGCCTGACGAGACTTTTATTTTTCACTTAACATTACAGGTAAGACCCTCTTCCCCTTGGTCTTAAACTCTGTGTTGATCCGGAGATAAGCCACTCAGGTGACTGGTCCTAGTTTTCATAAATGCCAGAACCAACCATCTCTGGCACCCCGTGGTCTGTTTAGGAGCTTCTGTAGCTGGGGTTGGGTCAGTGCACCTTGCTGGGAGTGGCCAGGACAGCCACTCCGGGAAACCTCCTCTTCGCTTTGGTCCTTTTCTCTATAATCCCCTCCCCACTACGGAGGCCCGAAGAGTGACCACAACTTCAGAGTTCAAAGAGGGGTACAAAAAAGCAAGCATGGGAGTAGGAGGTCCCTTGCATTAGAATAAATCCAGAGTACACCTGGGAAAACAATTAATAGCCCGAGATGTCCCTGAACTTAGTAGCTCTGTCTGTTAGGGTGAAGAATGACTGCTAGCACCAGTGTAGTTACTGTGTTTGAAGGGCATTGAGAATGTTTTAAAGAATAATTGTGTCAGCAGGATTATGACTGTGATACTGGAAACAGTTGTGTTTTTTTCATGTTCTTTTCTGCTGCTGTGGAGTATTAACGGAAACATTGCAGAAAACTCTACTTTATAAGAAAAATTGCTTAACATTTTATCTTTCATTTGGCTGTCTGATAGAATAACTAATTTTTAAATATGGCACATTCTATAGTGTCAAAATCACATTTAATAGACTTGTGCATTGCATATTTAATTCTGTAAATTAGTAAGGACATGGTAGTAATTGTAACATAATTTATAATATAATATTACTAGTGAATTGTTACTTAGTATATAATTATATATTATTAAAAGTAATGGTTTTACAGTTTAAAAAATTCTCATTTGGGATTTATTGACTTAATTTGAATGTTTTCTTAATTGAAAGAATATTTTTATTCATATTCTAAATAATTGAATACAGATTTTATTAAAATGATTATTCTTATTCTACTATTTATTTTATTACTTTATTTTTGGACTTTTGTTATAGAAACCTTCAGCAAATGTGAAGCTTGGGTGGCCAAGGACTGTGACAATAACAATATTATCAAATGACAATGCGTTTGGAGTTATTTCATTTAATATGGTATGGTTACAATTTGATGCGTCTCATAATTGTTAGGTATTAGTACACTGATTTTTAATTATTTTTTAGGTTAGCTCATGTCATCCTGTCTTTTGCTATTTAGATAAAACTTGCATTAACCCCATCCTATCCCGCATGCTGTAGACCTTCCATCTGTTTTACCTGAAAGTTTTGCAAATGGAAGGAACTTCTATGATCATGGTCATCCCTTTTCATAATTTCCTTGTGCCGATCATTTTTCCTGACTCATTTTTTCCTTATTTGTAACTGTATCTCCAGTGTGTCCCCAGTGCCTTTGCTTGATTCCTCCAAATACCACTTGAAGTAAACAGTGTCCATTTATTTTTTTTTTTTTTTGGTTTTGGTTTTTCTCCGGTACCGGGAACTGAACTCACGACCTTGCGCTTGCCAGGCAGGCGCTTTGCCACTGAGCTAAATCCCCAGCCCCAACAGTGTCCATTTATTAGGCTCTTCTGAGTGTTTGGGGTGACCATGAGCTGAGGAAGTACATTGAATGAATGCCGAAACACCTACAGCAGTTAGAGTCAAGTAGCAGATGTTACAGCTTTACAAAGTTCTGTAGTCAGTGTACACCCTAAAAATTTCCCACTGATTCATGTGTCATGAACTCTATTACCCTCACCCCTAGTTTTGCTTTACTTTCTCTTGCTTAATACCAAGTCCTGACCTGTGCTTCTGGTCGGTCCCATTTTCAGAAGATCTTAGTTTTTGAAACAAATGTGGAAGATGGGTCCCTCCTTGAGAGGATTGTTTCCAGCTCTTAAAACAAAACATTTATATCCAGTACAATTGAATTTGTCACGGTCTTAGGCTACAGTAACCTTCCTGGTAGTCTTTTGAAACCATATTACGAAGTATCATTATTAAGACATGATGCCAGCTTTTTATTTATTTTCCAGTTTAGATCACTGCTACAATTGATTGCTTTATGTCGTTTTCTTAGTGCCATATCTTTGAATTACAAGGACCTATATGATCTTTATAGTTGCATTGTCTGCATTGAAAGGGTGTTTGGTAACCTCAGTTTAATAAGTAGATATTTAGTAGCCTGAATTCCATTGTCACAAACATTAATGAAATTAATCATTTTTATGTGAGTGAAAGGTAATTGTTATGAAACAGGCCCTCTGAATTGCTTAATTTTCCTCCATACTGCTTCCCCTCCACACTTACTACCTCCAGCTTCAGACTGACTTGTTTAAAGTTTGTCTTCTGCTCTCCTGAACTTAGCACCTCCCACCCGCGTCATACCCCACAGCCCCTAGGAATGGGCCCTAGTCTCTGGGATTGGTCTCAGGTCCTGATGGGTGGGGTCTCAGTGCGGCCAGGCAGCCTCTGACAGGCTGCAGGTGGGTCCCAAGTCTGGAAATGCGCTCAGTCGTCAGACTTGAGTTTCCGGCATGGATGAGGATTATAGTGATCATGAACACGACATTGCTGGCGTTGATGGCAACCATAGCAGCCAGCATTTATGGAGTCCTCAGCATGTGTTAGGTTCTAGGTAAGCACTCGAGATAAATGACTGGCTTGGAATCTCATCAAACCCTTCGTGGCAGATGTCCCTAGCTCTGTCTATAGATGAAGTATTGAGACTTAGTACTACCCTGAGCAATGGCCCCTGCTGCCCTAGCAAGTGTGCACTTAGTGCTTCTCATTGCCACCTCGTCTGCCCTGGGCTCCTGTCAGTGAAGCTGGCATGTTTTGGCATTTGAAGTTCTTACTCTTTCTCCTGGCAGTGGTTGTGTCCTGAAAGTCATCATCAGTTGTTTTTCAATGCCATGCTGAGTGGTGGCGAGGGGGGGGGCGGCGGGAGCAAGGCTGAGTGTGTCCCAGTGGGCCACTGCCTTGCTCCAGAGTTCCTCAATTCTGGGTCCTCCAGGGTTCCCCGGAGGGATTTAACTTGCCTTCTTTCAGTTTGACCACCTCAAAGATTCTTCACCAGGACTGATACTTGGTGGTAGAATCAGGACAAGAACCTATATCTTTGCCTGGTTAGTTTTATGTTCCCTTCACAATATTGTTTTTTAAAATTTCAGTATATTTATTAGCTACAGTGAATCGATGGTAGAAATACTATGTTCTTATAGCGCAGTGTGGACTGGTTTCCCTGTGGGAAATGGTGTATTAAGGTAACAGATTTTTACCACCTTCTCCTGCGGTTGATAATCATCTCTGCTCTTGCCAACAGCCCTCCTCCGTCACAGTGAGGGAGCCCAGGGGCAGAAATGAGTCTGTGCCTCTCACTCTCATCAGGGAAAAGGGGACCTATGGGATGGTCACTGTGACCTTTGAGGTAAGTTTACTTGTAAATCACCTTAAAGAGTGACGCTGTAGAATCCAGACCAGCTGGCTGTCATTGTAAAAATAAAGTTTCTTTTTGTGCAAGGAACAGAACACTTAATAAAAACACGTTTGCTATCTGATAAATTTCATGGTTCATATAAACAAATTTCCCTTGCTACTTGCGTGAATTAGGTTTACATGAAACACAAGATATTTGAGGTGTGGGGTAGTAATAAATCACAGAATAACAATTGTTAACTTTGTAAAATTCATAGAGCCTTTACGGTAAATATTTTCAAGGGTTTAAAAAATACTTATGGCTATTTGAGTTTACATAAAATTATTTTCTACATAGTCTTCCCGCATTTGCCCCTAGACACTCAGGGAATGTGTTAACAGTGGTTGCTTCTGCCACAGAGACTGTGGGTACAGCGTGGGTAAGGGAGGCTGTGCGTAGGGTTCGTCCCAGGTGCTCGCTATGTTCAATTTATTGCTTACTGAACATTGTGTCACGCACCGCTGCTCTGTGAGTTCACGTTTAAATTTTTAGCTGATTTTTTAGTATTTCATGAGATCCAAAACATGATCAAATATTCTATTTTCAAATCTTAGAGTATTAGAAAGTTCCTATACCAGTTTCTATCTTAATTATTAATTGCAAGAGTGAATACTTGGACTTACACAAGATAATTCTCCTGTAACATTGAAGAGTTCTATTTATGCACGACAATCCACGTTAAGTCATTAAAGCATAAGTATGCAGTAAAAAGCAACTAACTATATGGTACTCTTGTAAGTCCTCTATAGGAAGCCTCAAGTTTCTTGTGTACTCAGGAATATACATTTAATAATGAATTTTTGAAGATACTTCTAATGAATATGGAGAAAATTAGAAAATAATTGGGCTATAGAAAGGATATGCTTTCAGAATTACAGCATTTTCAACTTACCTATGTCTGTTGCCTTTGTTTTGTTTAAACAATTGTAGGTGACATTTGCGGAACACTTGCTATGGGTGTGCCCTGCTCTGTGTGCCTTATGGTGATTAGCAGTATGCATAAAACGCATCTTCCCCAGCACTAGGCTCCAAGGGGAAGGGAATTTCTTCGTTCACTGCTCTGTTTTTAGTAGCCGCTGAAACAAAGCAGGCACAGAGTACTCAGCATTTTTTGGAATGAGTGTTTTTATTAGATCTTCACATCCAGCCTGTGAAATTGAAATTCTTATGCTCATTTTAAACATGAGCAAAATGCTGCACAGAGTTGTTAAATAACTTTCTAAGGGTCGTATGTTCAGTGGTGGAACTGATTTGTATTTGATCCCATTTTCTGAGGGAATTTACTAATCTTGAATACCCTTCCTCCCAAGAAGAAAGATGTATAGACTGTCCCTCTTAGATTTAATACAATGGTTGAAAAAAAGTAAAAAGATCTTAGAAACATAATTATAGTGCACACACATAATTACATGATGGACACTGACTTAATTGGAAGGGCGGTCTTTCATCCAAGTTTGTATCATTCTTACAGAGCATCTTTAAATAAACTTAGATTATTGTCAGCTGACACTGCAATAATGCTTTACCTGTCTTGTGAAATACTTTGTATTTATTGATGGCATCACATACTTCTTTGCAGGTAGAGGGTGGCCCAAACCCCCCGGAAGAAGATCTGAGTCCAGTTAGCGGAAATATCACCTTTCCCCCTGGCAGAGCAACAGTGATTTATAACTTGACAGTGCTTGATGATGAGGTGGGACATTTTTCAGTACTCAGAGGTGACAGGGACTCTGTGATGCAGCCACGTTAGGGAATCTGTATGATGTACCATAGTGTTTGATGCTAGTCAGGAATACAGTCTTTTATAGAGTTGGTACTGTATATTGTCAGTCATACTTTAGCTATGGTTTAGATATGGTTTATTATTATTACTTACTTAATTCACATTAAATCGAACACCCAAGCTGGGGGAATGTAGCTCAGTGGTAGAATATTTGCCCAATGTGTGAGGTCATGAATTCAATCTTCAGTATGACAAAAAAATGTCCATTTAAAATGATGAACAGGGATATAACTGACAAACTGTGAAAAAAATGTAAGCATCTTGTGAGCTCTGATATTAAATTTTTGTTAGTCTTTTCATATCTGAATGGGAGCAGTGCTGCTTACTTATCTAGCATAAACATTTTATTATAAAAGCAAGGAAATTCTAGTGCAATTGATATTTTTTGTTTGCATAAATATTCACAGTCATAGAAGGGATTCTACTTGCACATTTCAGAATGAAGTTGTTAGATTTTAGATCTATACCATGGCTAGCTTGGCTAGCTTTAATTGCTGAGGAAAGAATGGCTGTGAGTAAAAATGTACAAAAATACCACTCAGGAATGAGAGAAGACCATTTTTGTAAGAGAATCCACCCACTGCCAGAGAAGTAAGAAGAAGGAACAGCTGGAAATTTATAACTACCCTACAAACCCTTGTAACCAAATAACAAGGAACTTTAGAAAAAGAGAAAAATGAACTAAAAATGTGTGGGAAAAGTATATTTTCCTGGAGAAAAGTAATGTTTATTGGCATTGGTAATTGCAGTGTGTCTAGTTACCAACACAGAAAAACTTCCTGTTCTGAGATCTAGGACATTAGAAGGATTATAATGCAGGGAGGTGATTAATTGTAAATTTTAGTTGTAAATTTAAGAGATTCATTCACATCATAATACTGTATATTTGAAATAAGTAGCTTTTTATTCCAAAAATATGTAATCTCTGCTATTGATGGAAGTAAAAGGATGTATTTTTTTCCTTTCATTCATAAAATAAAGTTGAGGGAATGAAAAGCTCAAATAATACAGTAGAGATTAACTCCAGGAATTTTGTGTAGTTTATATAAAGTTTTGTTTTTTTTTTTTTTTTTGTTTAACAAACTCAGCCTTTTCATAGTGATTTTTACAGTTCTTTCTCCAGAGAGGCATGATTTTTGTTTGTTTTTGGTTTTTGTTGAGCGAGGGTGCCATTTTATAGTGCTGGCTGGCCTTAAACTCGTTTATGTAGTCGAGGCTGGCCTTGAGCTCATGGTGGTCCTCCTGCCTCAGCCTCCCAAGTGCTAGGATTATAGCATGTATGCCACCACGCCTGTTAAGATGTATGACACGCGTTTGGAAATCATAGGATTGGCATCATTTGTTTGCCTTCTGAACTAGAAACCATGTAGTGAGAAATAAGAATAATTCACATATTGCAAATGAACAATGATGTTATGTTTAATATACTTTTACTTATATTTTTAAGATATTATTACAATTTGAATGTTGCTTCTTACCCTACCAGCCTGATAAAACTGCTAAGAATTTATGTCCATTTTTACAGTATCATCTTCATGGTTATGTAAAGCCTGATCAAGATTGAAAGACATACCTATTACTTTATTAACTCTTCACAACTTTCGCCTAGTTAACTTTTCCATTCCTACCTAAAATAGGTTATCTTTGGAAACTAGTAAGAGGAGAGTAAACTAGGCTTTTTCTGTTTGCTCCCTCCAGTTAAAGATTTTTCTTCTATTTATATAATTCCTTTGAAACACAGTAAGTGTTTATGCTCTGATTCCTTTGTAGATCTTTTGGCTATTGATGTTTTATCATTGTTCACATTCCTTTGACAGATACCAGAAAATGATGAAATATTTTTTATTCAACTCAAAAGTGTAGAAGGAGGAGCTGAGATTAACATCTCTAGGAGTTCAGTCGAGATCATTATTAAGAAAAATGATGGGCCCGTGAGATTCTTCCAGAGCCTTTATTTGGTACCCGAGGAAGACCACACGCTTATAATTCCAGTGGTTCGTGGAAAGGATAACAATGGAAATCTGATTGGATCCGATGAATATGAAGTTTCAATCAGATACACAGTTATCACTGGGAATTCAACAGCACATGCCCAGCAGAATTTAGACTTCATTGATCTTCAGCCAAATACAACTATTGTTTTTCCACCTTTTATTCATGAGTCACATCTGAAATTTCAAATCGTTGATGATGCCATTCCAGAGATTGCCGAGTCGTTTCACATCGTGTTGCTAAAGGATAGCTTACGGGGAGATGCCGTGCTGATAAGGCCTTCTGTTGTGCAAGTCACCATTAAACCGAATGACAAACCTTACGGTGTCCTCTCATTCAACAGTGTCTTGTTTGAAAGGCCGGTTATAATCGATGAAGATACAACATCAAGGTATGGTTCATGTTAAGCCTTTTGCTGCAATTATTTTTATTTATTATTACAAGATTTAATTTTTGTGGTGCTAGACACAATGCTGACCTGTTAGTTTTGTTATTTTCTCTACCTTGACTTCACTGTGTTCTTTATATTTTGAGTATGCTTTCAGTATGCACATGAATTCCTATTACAGTAGTTTCTTAGGAGACACCCGCACAGCTACTCCTTCACACTGAAAACAATCATTGTTTTGGTCGCGGGTTCTGCTTGCACCAGTGTCTGATGGCCATCTTGGTGCTGGGAAAACCTGTCGACGGGAAATGTAGAGTGTATAACGTGACAACGTACGTTCCTTTTAAACAGTTCTCGATTCGAAGGAATCTCAGTGGTCAGAAATGGTGGCACCCATGGGAATGTCTCTGTGAACTGGGTGCTGACCCGGAACAGCAGCGACCCCTCCCCGGTGACGGACGATATCAGGCCGAGTGCTGGCGTCCTCCACTTTGCACAAGGGCAGATGTTGGCCTCAGTTCCTCTGACTGTCATTGATGATGACCTCCCAGAAGAGGCAGAAGCTTATCTGCTTAGAATTCTGCCTCACAGCGTACGAGGAGATGCGGAAGTGAGCGAACCAGCAGAGGTAGAGCTCTTGTTACGCTTTTCTCCCACCTACTTTCTGTGCTATGGAAGACCCAAGGTATTTGATCATGCAATCAAATGGATGTTTAGTTCAGCATGATATGAAAAGCCCTGGCTTTGAAGATGAAACTTGCTTCACTTATTGAACATTGTCTGTTCTGCAAATAGATATTTCACTCTTTCTTTCGTGGAGGTGTTGGAGATTCATTCCAGGGTCTGGTGCACGCTGAGCAAGTGGCCCACCTCTGAGCCACACCCCACTGTAATACTGTGCTCTAAAAAGTTTCACAAATGATAATTTAGGGAATTGTTCAAATTTTCATTTTTTTTTTTTTACTCTTTGAGATACAAGACGTGATCATTTTAGACATGATATATAAATAAATATTGCAAATCACAATAGTGTTGAAAATATAGTTTAATAATCTCAGATGTGAGAATTCTGCACTTTAATTTTTTTTTCATCTACAGCTTTTGTTCTACATTCAGGATAGTGATGATGTTTATGGACTAATAACATTTTTTCCTATGGAAAACCAGAGGATTGAAAGCAGTCCAGGTGAACGATACTTATCCTTGAGTCTTACCAGACTAGGAGGAACTAAAGGAGACTTGCGTATACATTATTCTGCACTTTATATTCCTGCTGGTGCTGTGGACCCTTTGAGAGCGAAAGATGGCGTCTTAAACATATCCAGGAGAAACAGCCTCATCTTCCCGGAACATGAAACCCAAGTTGCTAAAAAATTACCAATAAGAAATGACGCATTCCTTCAGAATGGGGCCCACTTCCTAGTACAGGTAATTTAATGTTTAAAATCATCTCAGTCTTGGTCAAATTGCACATAAATTTATCTATATGAGTTTTCTCTCATTTCTATTTTAGCCTTTATTTATTATTTAAAGTTATTTAGGGAATTAAAAGAGACGTTATGACGCTCCTGAGATAGTTAATCTTGACTAAGACAAGTGTTCTGCTAAATTAGTATTTTTATCAAGTGATTTTTAAAATAAACCAGACATGAAATGTGAATTACAATGCAGTGGATGACATAATGGAGTAACTTAACGGACCGTTACAGAGAGGGGCAGGAGAGAGAGATTCACCATTCTTTTGAGTTAAGCTGGAAGATAGGAATGAGGTTTATGGAATAAATGTTTTTCACAGTAGATACTACAGGGAAGACATTTCAGAATTTTTAAAAAGCAATATGAAAATGGTTTTCTTTTAAATAATATACCCAAGAGTATATTTCTTTATATGTTAACTGTAACAGAGATGGACACTGGAGTTTTAACTCATTACTAAGGAGAAATAAGGACCCATAACTGCACCCTTCCATCTTATCACTCTTGCTGCTCAACTTCTTATGAATGAAAACATTATTTTTTAATCAAAATTTAAGGCAGTGGCATTCAGTGCACATGTTTTCCGTGTGTTGATATTGGCTGGTTCTGAAAACTAGAAAGCAATAAAAGCTGCTTATCAAATAGATGTATACAGAATCGGGTAGTATGAGTAGATGCATCAATTTAAAATCTTATTTCATTATGCATTTTGCCACCTGCAGTATACATTAAATGGAATACAATATTCGTTTAATTTCTGTGAGCATTTAACATTGGTTTCATATTTTTATCTAGGTTTTGTTTCATACTTTGCTCTTGCTTTCTCTTACCGTCTAATTGTCCTCTTTCCCTATTGTGACCCCGCCCCCCCGCAGCTGAGCTCTTCCAGCTGTCTTACCCGTGTATGTCAAATGTTGAGTTGAGCTATCATCTTTTTTTATGTTTTTCTTCCCTGTTTGAGTCATTTTTTACTGAATTCTTCAATTTCTTAATTTCCTTTCTTTGCCTTCCGGAACTATGTTTTGATGTATTGAAATACCCCCTCTGCAGAGAGGGCGTGTGCAAGGTCAACTAGCTGGGTTTTTGAACCGCTTAAACTGTGAAATTTTATGCTCACATTGATTTTTTGGCTTGATTGACATTCTTAAATATAAATAGTTTCTTCAGCACTTGAAAGGTTTTGCCTTTTAGCCGCTAGAGTTCTGATGAAAAATTTGAAGGGAAAGAAACGATTTACCTTTCAGGTTACCTGCTGTTTATCTGCGGAAGCTTGTCAGATCGTCTCCTTGGGAGCACGCCTTACACGGTACTCAGGGGGCGGACTTCCTGCTGAAGGCACCTGTCTGAAACTGCCAGGGTCATGTCCTGTGCCACTGTGATGCTTGTGCCCAGGGCATTTCAGGAAGACTCTTGGCCACGGCGCCTAGTTGCGGGGATCTCTGATCCCTGACAATGTAGCCTTTTGGTAATGTGCCTGTTCAGAGGGAAGCCTGTGCCCTCTTCCTAACGTCACTAGTGATGAAAGATCTTGATGTTTATTACTATTATTATTATTATCATTATTATTTTGTGTCCCCTGCAAGTGAGGGGATTTTGGTATGACTGGCGCTTCTGCTATGACGATAACCTCTGCCCTGGCGGACCCTTGATTCCTCATTGACTGATGTGTGTACAGAGCACAGCTTTAGTCACAACTGTGGGCCGCTCCTCCTTGGCCTGTGGAATGCTCCTGTGAGACACCAGAGAATCCAGGTGGCAGGGAATCTGGGTCTGTAAAGTGGAAGAGAGCAGGTGGCCAAGCCTGGGAACTGTTGAGCAAGAAATTAAACTCACTAGTGCTGTGACCGGAAGACACTTAGACATCTGTTTAGAAAATTAAACAACAACTTTAAGTTTGCCTTTATACAAAAAACATGCATGATTCATTTGGTTTCTAAATGATTCTGTGAAATGCAAAGGCAAACTTCTTATACCATTGTAACTTCTCCCAAATTTTCAAGAGTGGCTGGGGCAAAACTTGTGGAGTGGTACTTCAGAGTTGCCTGGAGATTGTTTTGTTCTGCTTCTGATGCCATGCTCCTGCTGTCCTCTGCCGTGGGTGTCCTGTGGATTCTACATTCTCCTTAGTACACGCGCTAGGGTATTTGACCCTCCCTTCTCAGCGTTTAGTTCTCCGCTGTCTCTGCGCTCACATAGGCTACACCGCGTGTGAAAAGCAAATCATTAGAACAGAGGGCGCGGGGCAGATAAGCTTCGCCATTTACACCGTTGCTTTTGCTTTCAGAGTCCTGAGCATCCTGGCAAAGCTGGCGTGGTTGCAGTTGTGTGATATACATGAGCATCGTTGATACAGAAAGATAGCTTTGGAGTTCCAGTTTTCATTCTGGCTTTCTAATTTCTTTTCTTGGGTTGCCTCAGAACAGCGTTTATGGTGGATGGAGATCTCAGTATCTATGTTAGGATCAGCAACCTTAAACTTTTTAATGTTTTGAAAATATCCAGTAGTTCTTTCAAAGTAGCTGCATTAAGAGAATTCTTACATAAAAGAACCTTTGTTGAGAACTTTTTGAAGGTCAAATATAATTGTTTCACTTCACTATCCTGTATAAAATGACTGAATTTACTTTTGATGACCCTTGAAAACTAAGGGAGACTTGTGGGAGGATGGGCTGCCTGAGGTTTGGTGATCTTGAGTTGCAAAGTGGCACCACTAATTCCAGACTCAGTTCTTTATGTATCTCTCTATTCATTTAAGAAACAAAAGGCTCCCAGTGCAGACAGTTACTGTAACACCCGGGGATAAAAGAGCCTATTAGTCACTGACATGATTCCTTGGGGTTCAAACGGCTGTACGCCCTGGAGAACAGGGCAAAGCAGAAAGGCTGTGAGGTTTGCATAGCGCGTAATGGATGAGCAGCCCAGGGGTAAGAAGTGTGAGACTGTGTGGAAAGCTGAATGAAGGGAAGAAAGGAAAATCTGCGACATGCGCTGTGCATTCTTTAGTACCCCGCTCAGCTAAACCCATTAGTCTGAGGTGTAGCTTTTGGCAGGCCTGGGGGGACCAGTGTGCCGCCCTGTAGCAAACGATCTGACAGCAAAGAATGATTCTGCCTGAGTGAATGGAGCAGTTGGACAGTTTGACTTAGCAGATGCCGAAGGAACCTAGTCCAAAAAGAGCTCACAGATTAGGAAATTAGCCTTGCTAAGGTACAGTTAACATTTCTGATCAGTTTGTTTCATAAACCACATATAATTTATATTTTTCAAAAAATACTGCCTCTGGAATTTATACTTTTTCCTGATAAAACATTTCAGCATTACAAAGCCTAAAAGAGAGCTCTACAAAATAGGAGATGCGGCATATTTCATTAAGTGGATTGCATTTTAACTTGAAATCCCTGTGGGCTTTGCAGTTGTGTACTGATTCTGTATTGCTACACGCCTCTAATAACACTGAATATGTTGATAAATAGGACTTTGGAAAGTTAGACTATGTGACAGGCTGAAGGTGTGTGATGCATTGGGATTCCTATGGCTTGGTTTGTGTTGGAGGGATGAACTGAACAAGCGCTAACTGTATGGCTGCTGTGGTATCAGGTCAGTGTCAGGTCCTGGGAACATGCGGAGAAGGCTGTAGACCCTCGAAGAGTTTGGGAGGCATTTTAGGAAGCACAAACCTGGTAATGATGATGATCAAGCAATACACGAAGTTTATAGTAGGTCCTGCAGTTAATGAGGTACAGTAGAGCTTCAGAGTGAGAAAAAGAGGACTAGCAGATCTAAGGAGAGCTTTGTAGAAGAGGGGTAGGCTTAGCTGGTTATTAAGGGTGTATAGATTTTGGACTTAGATAATAATAATGATAATAATAATAACAACAATAATTGAAGAGAAGAAATGGAAAGGTGAATAAGGGAGGAGGACAACAAAGTTGTCAAGTTATTGGTGGCCTTTACTTATGTTTAATATGTCATCCAATGCTATTTTTTTATCCAGTGCTATTAAAGACTTTGCTTAAATTGAAAATGTTTTATCTTATCTGTTCTTATTATTTTTATTTGTTTATTATAGTTGGATACTGTGGAACTGGTGAATATATTCCCTCCAATTCCACCTGTAAGTCCTAGATTTGGAAAAATCAGGAATATTTCTTTAGTGGTTACTCCAGCCATTGCAAATGGAGAAATCGGCTTTCTTAGCGATCTTCCAATCGTCTTGCATGAGCCAGAAGGTTCTGCAGCTGAAGTGGTAAGTAGAGTCTCTATTGTTGATGGCATATAATGGATTTGAGTTGTGGACAGTGCGTTAGTCGGCTTCCTGTGATTGGGACAAAATACCTAACATAACACAACTTAAAGGAGGAGAGATTTATTTCGGCTCACAGTTTCAGAGGGTTCAGTCCGTGGGTAGCTGACCCCACTGTGTTTGAGCCTGTGGCAAGGTGGCAGCATCATGGTGGAAGGGCACTGGGCGAGGAGAGCTGCTCACATCATGGCAGCCAGGAAGTAGAGAGGGAGGGGGAGAGCCAGGGAAAGATGTTCCCTTCAAAGCACACTCTCATGGACCTACTTCCTCCAACAGGCCCCGCCTCCTGAGACTACACTCATCTGTGAGCTCATCAGGGGCCAGTCCATTACGATCCTCACAATCTAGTCTTAATATAATCAAGTCAACAATCCTATTTAACTATTAGAGTACAGACACTCTTTTTTAAAATATAGGGTAGCATACTAAGTTAACAGACTTTGAAAAGCTTCACCATTTACAGCAGGCCTTTGACATGTAATTTAACATAAGTCACCACTGAATGTGTGATTTATCCATCATTTTTCCTATATTTGATACGACAAAATTAGAATTAATTGTTCATGGTAAGAGTAGGATGCATAAATGTGACTACGTTGAAATAGTACCATGACATTTGACAACAATAGCTATACATAAATCAATTTTTTAATGACCAACTTGTGGTAGCACAGGTGTTCTTGACCTGCTGCATACTGGGGCTCATGTACTGGCCTTGGGTGGGACTGTGGTAGCAGCCTTGTTGTGCTTGGTGCTGGAGGTGATGGTGGTAAAGTTGTGACATGCTGAAACTTCGGAATTCTAAAAATGTATACATTTAAATTTTTGCTTGCACACATATAAGAGCATGGTCATGTACCAAGCACCCACATGTACCTTTTTGAACTTTTTTCCAAGCCTCCACCCATCAGGGGACAGTTCTGTCCTCTGCCTTACCAATCCCTGAGCCACAATCTGTCTGAGACTCTCTCAAGCCCCTCATACTTAGATTTGATTTAAATTGGGCTGAGACTTAGGCCAGGAGTGAGGAGAGTTGTGCTGTGAAAGTCTCATGTCCAAAGTTGCTTTGTTTATATATTAGGTTCTGTAAATGGGCAGAGAAAACTCAGCTTTTCAAAATGGTTTTGATTTCCCATATTTCTTAAACTGTTTCCTTCAAAAGCTAAAAAGCATTTGTTCTTAAAGAGTAGGTTGCTTTTATTTATCTTATAAAGCTGCACATTTACTATTTCAGCCTTTTCCCTTGACAGAAGTTAGCTGTTAGGAAAAGCTTGGGGCTCCTTACATCTGCATTCTTCCTCTCTTAGGAAATAGCATTAAAACTAGGAGTTTCCCCTTTTTTCTCTGTGGGAATGCACATTCCTTCAAGTGGTGTTGGGGCCAGCCCTGTGTTAGTGTTTTTGTCTCTGCTGAGAATCTTATTTTGCTCACTGGTTTCTGATTCTGATTGTGACCATTCAGTCAAAGTAGCATAATGGTCAGTGGTAAAAATGTGTGCGTGTGTGTCCCAAGATGGTGTGTTAAAAGGATGATAGCTATTTTAGGAACATAAAACAAAGCACATCTCCCATGAAGTATTTGTTTAGTTGAAAAGACTTCATCATGAGCTATAATGAGCCTTTTGAATTATATATATTTAAAGTATAGTACATTTGAACAAAACTACCAAGTAGAATTTAAGAATTAGCACCCATTTATCTAGCTTATACTATGAAGAGACTATTCTAGAAACTTTCTGTAAACTATCTCTTATCCTCATAATAAGCTCGCAAAATTGGGAATCATTAGCTTCAGTACAGATGAGGAAATCAAAGTCATATTAAGTAACTTGCTCAGTGTAACCAGGAGCCATGCTACAGTATCTAATTTATTTTTACTCCATGCATATTATTGGTTAGAAACATTTTCTTATTTTGCCCCCATCCCTTTAGGGTGCATTTCATATAACTTTCCAATTTTAATTACAAAACTTAATTTTTCAGTTTGCGTTTTGATATTGTTTCTTTCTTTTCCCAGAGAACCTCTGATGGAAAGTTATTCTTTACGCAAGATTATTCTGTTTTTCATGATTCTGTGGCTTGCCAAGTCTCACACACTTTGGTGTGGGGTGACTTTAGACATAGATCTGATTAGCACAACTAAAAAGGCATAACGTGTCTAAAGGACCTTCACACTTAGAGAGGGTCTCTTCAATTGTGTTTTTAATGTAATTTAATAGTTTACCTCTCTAGAGTCCACGTTTGCCTAATGATACTGCATATGTTGAATGTGAACCATATTATTATTGTTTTTTTGTTTTTGTTTTTCTTCCGGTACCGGGAATCGAACTCATGACCTTGTGCTTGCCAGGCAGGCACTGTGCTGCTGAGCTAAATCCCCAGCCCCAGAAACATACTATTTTTGAGCATGTATTTTGGAGAATTGTTCTGAGTATTTGCTCGTTTGGCTTTGCTTTTAAAAGGTGTACATTCCTTTGCATCGGGACGGAACTGATGGCCAGGCTACTGTCTACTGGAGTTTGAAGCCCTCTGGCTTTAATTCTCAAGCAGTGACCATGGATGATATTGATCCCTTTAATGGCTCTGTTGTGTTTTTATCTGGGCAAAGTGACACAACAATCAACATTACTGTCAGAGGCGATGACATACCAGAGATGAATGAAACTGTGACACTGTCTCTGGACAGGTAACACTCCACTTAGGTGCTGTTTAGTAGCATTTATACATTTGAGTTCTCTTAAGTAATTTTGTTTTTGTTTTAACTCTTATCTCTATGTGAAATTGAAAAAATCAAATAGTGTTATGCTGACTTTTGTGTTATTTATTGATTGTTTCTGGTTAGACTGTGAATGTGATTATATCTTTTAGTGCTGTTTGTCATAAAGGAGCATTACATATAGAACTTACGGGAAGTATCAGATGTATGTGAAGCATGGCCAGTATAGTGTGAGCATGGCCAGTATAGTGCAGTATTTTAAGAAAGCAGGAAGACATCCAAACTGTGAAATGTTAGGTTAAGCAAAGCGCTATGCTGGTTTCACTTTCAACAGGGGAGTGGGTCACAGCTTTCTTGGGTTAAAAAAAAGCATTAATCCTCATTATTTTTGCATAGAATTGAAAGACTAATACCGATTTAGACAACTCAAAATAACACAAATTGGAAGGGTACTTTTCAGGTATAACAAGAAGTTACTTAGAATTTCTCAGAGAGAATGTAGTTTATGTTACTATCACAATGTCTTAAGAGCATTTCCCCCAGTAATTTAGAATATTCTTTTTTTAAAATGAAAAATACTGTTTTTAATTGGTTAATGATTTTTTTTAAATCAAAAACCAGACTCATCTTCTGCAGATCTCATTATATTGCTATTGATACAGATCAGAGAAGGTTACTGTAACCTGAGGACAGTGCACACTGAATATTTTGAAAGAGTAAAATTCATAGGTATATGTGATGTCTTATATATACTTTCCTGGAATGAAGTTGTAAAAGTTACTTATATAATTGTTGGACCTTTCTGTATCCTATAGCCCGACTTTATTGGTTTTTTTCTATGGAGGTGTTTTGTCTGAACACATTTTAAAACCCTGATGAATAGTTGTTTTATTTTATTTTATATTTTGAGACAGGGTCTCTCTCTCTAGTTCAGGCTAGCTTTGAACTCATTGTGTAGCCCAGACTGGCCTTAAACTCAGGATGATCCTCCTGCCTCAGCCTTCTGAGAGCTGGGATTACAGGTGTGTGCCAACACGCCTGGCTTACTCCTTTATTTTTATGTGAAAGAAAAATATAGACCACAGAGCACACATCTTTTGAATGACCACTATTTATTTTGTTCTAAGAACCACATTGTGTTTACTTTCTTCCTTCCAAGAAAAGTAGAACAAAAATAAAATAGTGACAGAAAAACCAAAAGTGAAAACCAAATACCATACATACATGCACACACAGTTTAAATGACATGGGCATAGTATATTTTTTAGATGACATCTTAAGAGAAGGTATTTCATATGATGAAAGTAGTAGTGAAATGTAATGAAATGTAAACTGGAAATTATTTTTCCGTCTATGTCCTTTTTGCTTTACATTAGGTGTGAATACCTTTTGTCAGTGCACAATCCGGAAGAAAACTGAAGAAAAATTAAATGATTGTAAACAAAAGCAATACATAAAAACTTTGTTACTTCAGCCAAGAGTTTTTGCTCTCAACTAAATGTTTAAAGAATTACTTAAATCATCCCTTTGCAAAGTCATAGTGACTTTTTATATTTTCTCATATAGTCATTTTTGATTTCATAAACATTTGAAATTAAATACGATTTTAACTTTTGTTTTGTTTTCACTCTTTCCTCTTGCCTATGGGGTTAAAAAGAGTGTGCAAGGAAGTACAAATTATAAGGTAGAAAATTTCAGAAATTATTGGTTCTTTTTAAATAGAAGAAATGAGTTAAAATGTACATTGAAATCTTAATTCTATTTGAAACTATTACACGAAGAAGAATAAAGAAATTACGCTTCAGTGTTCAAAGACTTACCTAAATGAATGTGAGAATAAAGCCTATGATTTGGAAGTGCCTATTTTATCAAAACTTTTTAATTTCTGCAAAATTTTAACAGAATTTAAGTCAAGAAATGAATGGTTGTGTGATTACAGTGAGTGACAACACAATGTTTCAACAAAAATAATAACACCATATCAATACAGTTCATAATTTTCTTTTAATGTCAAATGCAAATTCTGTATCTACCAACTAAGTAGGGCATAGCCAAAACTTTCCCTGGTACTAAACAATTTATGATACTTCTAATATACTATACCGCTTGAAAATATTGTTTAATTTTTTCCAGATCAGAAACAATTTCATTATACCAGCTTATTTCAGAGCAGTGCTATTATGTGGTATATAACACTGTATTTCTAAGTATATCTGACTGTAAAAATTAAGCCACACAGTCTTTACAGTTTGATATGTGGTTCCCAAGGCTTTTTTGTAAATGAAATAAATTGGAAATTTGAAAATGTATTTAGATTTCCTGATACAAAGTTGTGGTTAGAAGTTGTATTTCATCGATGCTTGAATGCATTCCTGTGCAGACAATGGAAGGTACAGATTTCTGTGCTTACAGAGTTTCCATTTTACTAACTCAGGGAACAACTGGCTTTAGATCTGAGGATGGAATTTTTTTAAACCTAATTAAAGCTACTGAGTGATTATAGGCAGGGCTGAATGAAGTTTGCTCAGCTGCTGTGGTCTTACGGACGGTGCGTACGGTGCTTGGCAGGCACCGTGCGGAAGAGGCCAGGAAAGGAATGTTGTGAATGGGTCTTGGCACGCCGGCGGCCATGGGTCATCTTCCACAAGTGGGGACTGCTGAGCATTTGTCAATAGCAAAGGGCCCCGTGTGCCCAGTTCCCATAACATGAAATTACTGGCTCTTGGGAAAAAAGGAAAGGCTTTCTTTAGCTTTATTTTTACCCTGCCGCTCTATGTTTCTAGCAGTATTAGTGAGATTTTGGCAAAGGGTGCCTTCGCCTGTTTTCCCCCTCCCACGGTTCTTTCTGTATTGACAGGGTAGAGACTGAAAGATTTGTCGTGTATTTTGGGTAAGTGTGCAAAATCGTGGCTTGTTTTTGGTGATTCAACATTTTTGTTGTGCAAGTGATTGCTTTTGGACAGGCTGCTGTTCTGCATGACCGCAGGGCTTGGGAAACTTTGCTTGTCCACCTTCCTGTGCATGCCTTGTGTGTAGCTTTATTTTCTAACAATAACAGGGAGTTATATGAAGTTTTTGAGTTATTTGGTCCTAAGAGTTTTAAAATTTAAGTACATTTAAAATGTTTGGCAAAATACTTGAGAATTAGTTCTCAAATATTTTGAAGAATTTAAAACTAACTTTCCAAATAGCTTACACATAGAGAACAGTTACTGTGCTTTACTTGTGAAATCTTTTACGAATGTTGGATAACAAGAATTATCAGTGAATAACAAACTCTTGCTTTTATGAATGTAGCTAAGCAATGTCATGCTTTCATCTGAGTCTTAAATATATAGAACTTTTCAGAATGTGCACTTTACATAAGGGCAGCATATTTTAAGAAAGCTTTCAAATAAATGCATTTGTTTAATGGTCATAGTCCATTTGTATATTCTACATTTTGATCAAGTTTTCATGTCTACATAAGCTAAATGTGGACAGGAAATTTTAATTAGTTAGGATAATAATATAAGTGAAATATGGGCAGATTTGCTTTGAAAATTATGATAGAATTAGCAATTTAATAAATAATTGTCTTGTTATTTGATTTACCTCATCTGTGGTCACTGGCGTGCTAGGTACTGGTTGTTAGATTTCCCAAAGCTAAGGGATGATGTTAGCTTTTTATTATGTAGGAACTGAGCTGACTGTTCTCCATATTCCTACATTTTAATTGTGATTTTATTGTGATTTTGAGGTCTGATCATGAATACTTTTTGGCTCATTAGGAAGTCACATCTGGAAAGATTTAGTCCTGCTTGCAAGATTGGAAATTCATAAGAGCTTGTTGGCTTTTAAACCCTCAGAGATACACAGTGTCTTTGATCATTCTAATTCTACACTGAGCATAAAAGCCAGAACTTTAAAAAAAAAATTATTCTATTCTTTTGCAGTATATTTAGGAATTGTTATAGTATGTCATGCATCACAGATCCATTTTATTTCTTTTTTCCATATATGTCTTATATTTTCTTTTATGGTAAAAGAAAAAATGTAGGAGGTTAAAAATTGAGACAGAAGGCATTTGAAAGCTGCAAAGTATACTTAAAAAGCTAATTATAATTGTATTTATTTTTTGTTGTGGCTTGCTTTAGCCTGCATAGTTATTTTAGCTAATGTGTATATAATTTTAGTTAGTCAATATAATCTTATGTAATGAGATTTTAAAATAAATTCAATGTGAAATTAAAAGTTTCGTTTAAATATATTTTCTAACTACATAGTAGAAATTAAAATTTCTAAAACTGGAATTAAATCTACATTTTGATATGCTATAAATATCTACAGCTTTGGGGTATTGTATTGTTGGTGTACATTTGCAGTGTATATTTCATTCAAATGAAATGAAAAAAGATAATGAAATCAAAAATACTTTTTCTATAAGGTTATGAGTAAAACTGTTTTGGTTTTAAGTGATTTTAATACATGTAAATTCACTTTAAAGTTTAATTCCTAATCATCCTTCTTTTAATTACTGGGAAGATTTGTAAATTGCCTTTGGTGCCTGCAAATTTCAGAAGTAAGACTACTGCTCATGAACACCTTTTTCTCCCTGACTTCCAGAGTTAACATAGAAAACGAGGTGCTGAAATCTGGGTATACTAGTCGTGACCTAATTATTTTGGAAAATGATGACCCTGGGGGAGTTTTTGAATTTTCTCCTGCTTCCAGAGGACCCTATGTTATACATGTAAGTAGAAATTTCATTCTGTGTTCAGCACGTGAGAAGAATGATGTAGAAGGACTTGAATTTTGGTGACTTTTTTTTTTTTAAGGAAGGAGAATCTGTAGAGCTCCACATTATTCGATCCCAGGGGGCTCTTTTAAAGCAGTTTCTATACTACCGAGTAGAGCCACGTGATAGCAATGAATTCTACGGAAATATGGGAGTATTGGAATTCGAACCTGGGGAAAGGGAGATAGTGATCACTTTGCTCTCAAGACTGGATGGCATACCGGAGGTATTGTGTTTTATTTTTTCTTTGCGCTCTGTGGAAGGTTGCTAGTGTCTGGCATATCATGACATAAATATTTTGAACATTGGCAAGAAGACATAAGGAGGCATAAATACTTATGTTTGGGAAATTGGAAATAGAAGCTTAAAAAACAAATATCCATTCTAATTAGAAAGTTGTATTTTTATCCTACAAAAAGAAATAACAAATCAAAGAAAGATCTGAAACTTTGAGAGTGTGATCAGTGAAGTTTTATGTATGATCAACCATGTTCTATATGATCTTTATTGACTGAATTTTTAATGGTATGGCTTTGAACTAATTTTGCATAAAATTGCTTTTATAAGGAAACAAATATAAGTTTTATATTAGCGGAAGCAGATACGTATGGTACCATTATGTTACATACCAGGGTATAGCTGGTCGGCAACAAGGCCCTAACATCTTGCCAATGGTGAAAAGTGTTCATCTTTTTTTGTTTTTGGGTAATGCACCTTTATATCTGGTGTATTTTAGTGCATAGGAGAATTTGAAAACTATTTTTAGGAATAATATCAGCTCTTTTGCTTTTTCAGGGGTTGTATGTTTCTGAAAAACTGAGTATATTAATATTCTCAAATACATGCGTATTTTACTTGTGAAAATGTCCTTTGCATTTTTCTCATCATTTTAGCTGGATGAGCACTACCGGGTGGTCCTCAGCAGCCACGGAGAGAGGGGAAGCAAATTGGGGAGTGCGACAGTCGTCAACGTAACGATTCTGAAAAACGATGACCCGCACGGGGTTATAGAATTCATTTCTGACGGTCTCACTGTGACGATAAATGAAAGCAAGGGAGACGATATCTATAGTGGTAATTTATTCTCTTTCCCATATTTTATTTCTGTCTACTGAAGAGGAAGTTAATTGTATTTTTAGTTCATTTCTTCAGCAACTAGTTATTTTCCGTTGCCCATCCCGCCTTAGCAATTACAGGTAGTGTAGACATTGGTCTTTGAAAAAATCATACATATGATTGCTGTTTTTATTTCTTACAGAGCACTGTAATGACACTGATGATTTCAGTTATATTCTGATTTTAGTTAACCATATGCAATATAGTTCAAACACCCAGGCATGAGTCACGTCAAATAAGTAGGAAAAATGGTCAAACTAAGTGTTAGGGCTAGAAAACTATTTTGGTGGCAGAAAATGAGAAAAGTTTTACTTTGAAAGCAGTTTCTGGGTAAGAAAATCACTATGAGGGTGCAAGTGACGTTTCCTCTAAATGCCTTCAGCAGATATCTTTTTTTTTTAATTTTTTTTTTTTTTTTTTTGTGGTACCGGGGATTGAACTCACGACCTTGCACTTGCCAGGCAGGCGCTTATGCCACTGAGCTATATCCTCAGGCCCAGCAGATGCCTTTGCAGGGCTTTATCATCATTGCACTTACTAATCACCATTCTGTTCCTGTGCCGAACGACTCTTAAAAATTCCACGCTGTGATGGAAAAGATTCAGTCTATTTATATTGTTAATTTCATAACTTCAGAAGGGTGAGTGGGCTAGTATATTTTTATAAGAACCTTGGAGAAAGTATTGAACCAATAATTGGCTTTTATTGAAAAGAGGTGTCATTTTTATTTTGAGCAATTTCTCCACTTGTTTTAAAGTTCAGTATATGTGTTCATATTTATTATAACCTATTCGTATTTCACAGCTGTTTATGGTGTAACAAGAAATCGAGGCAACTTTGGTGATGTTAGCATATCGTGGGTAGTTAGTCCTGACTTTACACAAGATGTGTTTCCTGTGGAAGGGACTATTTTCTTTGGCGATCAGGAATCTTCAAAAAATATCACCATATGCTCCCTTCCAGATGAGGTAAATGTTGCACACGTCACTCTCCACTTTTCTTATGTTTGTTGCTTTGTTATCATTTTTATTAAAAAATTAAATATATGGTAGAGATTCCGTGATGAACATATGTGGTGTCTCACTGTAAGGGAAGAGGACAGTGCTTTTTGGCCTTCCTGAAGGTATGTGTCACTGGTAGAACGGACAGTGGTCAGTGACACACCCATGTGTCAAGTATCAGGGGCTCACAGTTGTGGAAGAGGTGTAGCCCTCCCATAGGTGTAGTACCTGTACGTGGGCCCTTTGAAGAAAGGCTGTTTACCATGTGCCTGGGATGTGCTCAGAGTCAGGACCCTGGGCCACAGGGATCACGGATCCCAGGTGGGGTTTCATCTCCTGAGAGTGAAGACAAACAACTTGGAAACACTGAAGAATACACCTTCCTCTAGAAAGCAGCACTTAGAACACTTTGCAGGCCTGTCCCTCAAAGGACAGTTCCAGCGCCTTGTAGTCTTAGTGTGGGGTGAGGACTGTCTCTTATGGATGATGTGGAAGAGAAGCTGTGACCCCGGGGACTCACATAGGCTCAGTGCTGTGGGAATCGCACCTTGTCGGGAGTGGATGTAAGGTCTTCACACGCACTCATGTGAAGCTCAGTGGGGTTTGTAAGAGGCCCCTGAGTGCTGGCTGAACTTAGAGACCGATGTTAGGAACGCTCTGCTGGGTCTGTGAGAAAGTTATGTTTCTGTCCCATTTTTTTTCTTATAAACATCATTCCCATTTCCATACAGAAATGAAAGAATCTTTGTGGTCTTTTTTAGCTAATAAAGCAAAATATCTACATCTGCATTACATTTTGTAATTTGTCAAAATAAAGTGGCTGCTTAGATGAATGCACATTTAAATAATTCAGGGAGGGTCTGAATCTTGCAGGAGTCCTTTAGAAAGCTCCTACCTTAAAAATGGAAGTGAACATCAGCACAATTAATAGAACTTTTTAAAACAAGAAGTAGTTTAAGAATATATAATTTAATCTGAGCAGCTAGTTTGAACACAACAATACACAATGTATTAACCTTTGTTAATTTCCTGTTGTCTTGTTTGAAATTCTGTATCACTGTTTTTGTTTTTTTCTCTTTAAAATTAATATATATATATAATTTAATTCTATGTATAAACTATTCAACTTAAAATGTGTACTTTTTCCCAAAGATTCCAGAGGAAATGGAAGAATTTACCATTATGCTACTCAATGCGACTGGAGGAGCTAAAGTGGGAAATAAAACAACTGCAACTCTGAGGATTAGAAGAAACGACGACCCTATTTATTTTGCAGGTAGGACGGCTACCCTTGTGAGTCAGTTTACACTTGCTTTATTGAACAGCTTATGTATTTCAAAATAGCTTTGAACTGAATCTTTTCAACAAAGCATTGTCAATGCTTGTTTAAATATGATTTCACGATGCATTTGATGATTGTGAAGCCATTTGAAATTTTAAAAAAGTTTAGAGATCTTCTGAAGCAAAGAAAAAATAATGCAAGTACTGTTTTGTTAAAATACATTTAGTCCTTTCAGACTATTGTATGAGGTATTTTTTTTCCTTTGTGCACAAATGAACATTCCTGCACACGTTCACTTCGAACAGTGTGGACAATTTGGGCTTCTCGTTGTACCTAACGGTTGGCTACTGTCTGTAGTAGCCGAGATTTACTGGATACCTTAATTGAGAATTCTGCATTTTTTCCCTTTACTGCTATCTTTAGAACTCTCTTTTACCACCTGGGGCATCTTTTAGTTTTATATAGGAGAGTTAATTGATTTCTAATTCGTTGTTAAACGCTTATGCTTTTTGTAAGTTGGAGGTAGGTCAGTTTACTGGTGTTGGACCTTTTAAATGTCTTTAATTTTACCGATTGCTATTTTAAGCCTTCTTCGCTTAGTGTGTCCTTGACAAAGTAGTCTGTGATTCAGCCTTCTGCCAACTGCTGTGGCAGAAATAGAACATAAGGTATGTGGGCCTAACCGTAGCCTCAACGTCTGTGAGGTGGGCGCAGAGGGTTTCCGAGAGGCTGCAGCTGACTGGGAAACGGGCTGCAGCAGACAGCGGGCTCTGGAGGGCAAGGGTAGAGAGCCTTTCAGCATGGGCACGCACCGCAGAGTCAGGGACAGAGCCAACTCGACTGGAAGCACAGACGCGCACAGAGCACTTGTTTGGACGACAGAGAAAGAAACGAGAGCGTAGGTAGATGGAGTCAGCAATGCTCATGTGTTCCTTCTCTGCACATTGCAGAGCCTCGTGTCATTCAGGTTCAGGAAGGGGGCACTGCTAACTTCACGGTTCTCAGAAACGGATCTGTGGACGTGACCTGCACTGTCCAGTATGCCACCGTGGATGGGAAGGCTACTGCGGGAGAGGGAGACTTCGTTCCCACTGAAAAAGGAGAAACCCTTGTGTTTGGCGTTGGCAGTAGAGCGCAGAGCCTGTCTGTGTATGTTAATGAAGATGGTATCCCAGAAACGGATGAGCCCTTCTATATAGTCCTCTTCAATTCAACAGGTAAATGCATTGTATTGTTATGACAGGACGGTTGCTTCAGGGCTTTGCTAGGACCACACGAAGTATTGCTGTTCCATAGCTGTGCCAGAGAGTACTATACTGTCATCCGGGACTGTTCATGGACACGGTTGTTTATTCTCTGCCTTCCTTGAGGAATGGGATAAAGTCTATAGGTGTGGAATTAGGAAATGCTATTATATTAGGGATGGAAATCTTACCATTAAAAGCAACTGGCCCTGGGACTGTGACTTCCTGGGCCTTGCCTAGGCTTAAAGAGTCAGGGTCGGTAGCCCTTTTCTTCTGGCTCATTTGGTTGGGAAGCTTAATTCTACAGGCAGCTGACTCCACCTGGCTGTTTGTAATTCCCTGGAGCTATATCATAAAGAAATGTGATCTGCAAAGGGTAGGGATGTGATCTTCGTTCTTCTTCATGCTATAAAGGAAGCAGGATGGGGCTGGGGATTTAGCTCAGCAGCACAGCGCCTGCCTGGCAAGCGTGAGGTCGTGAGTTCGATTCCCAGTACTGGAAAAAAAAACAAAACAAAAAACCAACACACGAAACAGGATGTTTTAACCCCATTGTTTGCACCCAGAAAATGTTTTGGTCCCATCTTTAATAAATTGGAATCAGTATAGTTTGTTTTGATATTTATTTCTTTTAAGAGTAAGGAACATTTTTCCCTGAACTTTTTGAGTGTGAGTTAAAGATATGATGCCCCATCACGGCTGAAGACCCAAGTATATATTCCCTACAAACAAGGACATTTTCCTACATGGTTGCAATGTAACCATCATAATCAGGTCCTTAACATCGATGCAGCCATTGTCTGAAGTCCCTTTCAAGTGTCTCCAGTAGTGCTCTTTCTAGCAAAATGATCCTTTCCCGAGTTATACATTGTATTATCGTTACATTCTATAATATCACATTGTAATATTGTACATTACAAATTTAATTAGTCCTAAATGTGTACATTTTGTATAATATTACATAGTATATTACAATGTATTCTGTATATAAAATATAATTTGTGTGTTTTGTATAATAGTACATGTATATTACACTGCAATATCCCTCTAATCCAGTCAATCTTAGAGTGGTTTCTCAGTATTGACAATAGAAAAGACCATAAACTAGAATTTCCCTCATTTTAAATTTGTTTGATGTTTCCTTATGATTACATCAGGTTTTGTATCTTTGGTACAAATTCAACAAAAGTGATTCTGTGTTTTTATATCCCTTCAGTCCTAAGGAGATTTTGATTTGTCCCTTTATTATGATACTCACTTTGACCACCTTTAAAGTGATGACTTCCAGGCTTTTCTTCTGTACTTTTAAAGTTGGAATTAATAAATGTTTTGTGAAGGAGTTATTTTTAAACTATATAACTATCCTGTTACTCATGAAACTTCAGTTTTTTCACGTGTACATTTATCAGTATAGACTCATAATACTACAATCTATTTTCATGGTCACACTGTCCCAGATTTGACCAGTGGTAACTCACTCAGGATGACTTCCTTGTCTTTTTGACTTTACTCTTTGAGCATTTTCTTATTTTCTGGCACAGCAAGGTGTTCCAAGCTCATTTTATACAATCCTGAAATCAGCTATTTCTCCAAGAAGCCCTGATTCCTTGTAGTGAACAGTGTGATTGAGTAACTAGGGTCTGAGTACTAGGTGTGCTTATTGTTACTGAGGGTCCCTTTTGTGTACGGAGATGGGGGATAGATATTTTGTATGTGTGTGTGCACACAAGCGAACTCTTGTATCTGCAGTTCTGTTAGCTCACTATGTATGTTGAAAACTATCCGCTCACGCCAGCATTTCCATTCTGGCCAAACATCACACACGCGGCTCTGTCTAGTTTCCTCCCTTTCCGTATTTGTCACTCCCTTCTCCAATAGTAAATCCAGCTCCCAGTACCCTTCATACGTTTACACAGTTGATGAATTTCCTGTGCTGATTACCCCACTAGGGTTCTGGCTTCCTGCTCTGGGCCAACCCTCCTCCCACTCTGGCTCTGCACCGGCGCTAAGCTTCCCTCCCTGGAGGTGCCCTGCCCCGCACACTCGGGGCGAGTGCCAGCCTTACGTGGTGCCCTGTGCTTTCTGACATTTAGAAGAGGTGAACAGAAAGAGATCTCTTAATTTTTGTTTTTGCTATTTCCCTCCATCGTTCTTACTTCTTTCTTCCTTGCTGTCTCTTTTCCTGTCCTTTTTCTGCTTCTTTTTTCACTTTTCACATGGCTTAACTAAAAATACCCCCCCTGCAAGTTTAAAACAAAAATCTCTCGTAAGGAAAAATTTGACTTTCTACAATAATGATCACAGAAAATCTCACAGTTTCAAAAAACATAGCTCTTAATATAAACCCAAACTACCCTTGAGCCACTGTTTCCAATTTATATGGACAGGAGTATTCTTATGTTATAGGGTAATTCTTCATTATTTTAATGAAATCAAAGTATATACCTCAGAAATCTGAAGTTAGAAGAAACTTTTTTATTTCAGATTAAGCTATTGCAGTGATAGTCTCATTGTGAAGGAACTGTCCCTTCTTTTCCAGTGAAATAGTTAATCTGTAACTAAACATTTTCTCAAAAACCAAAACAGGAATGCTTTCAAGTTATTTACACATCTCTTTTTCTATGCCATATATATATATATATATACACACACACACACACACACACATACATGTATTTCTATAAATACCTTTAGAGAAATAGAGCCATATTTTTCATTTATTGTATGACCTTCAGTAAGGAAATTCTTATGAAAAAATTTGCACATAATTATAAACTTAATTTAAAAATATAAATTTAATAATAAGATACATTTTTATTACTTTGACATTTCCATTTTTTATTTAGGTGATACAGTAGTATATAAGTACGGAATCGCTACAGTTATAATTGAAGCTAATGATGACCCAAATGGTATTTTTTCTCTGGAGCCCACAGACAAAACAGTAGAAGAAGGAAAGACTAATGCATTTTGGTAAGTGCACTGGGATAAGGAAAGTCAAAACTAGATGGATAAAATAAAGCCATTAAGTATGTGAAAAACTAGAAATACTGGTAATATTTCAAAATTTTCAAACGTTGGCCAGGAACTGAGTAATTTTAAAGTTGGCTGTCTAAATGAATGGTAAATTTTGTTTATGCTGCTGTCATTTATCTACTGAAAGTTATAGGAACCAAAACATGTTAGCTGGTAAGCAGAAACTATTCTTTTCAGCCTCCTCAGTCCATCTGCAAGAAGACCGAGGAAGTGGGGTTCTCTGAAATCTTCATGCACGTGTTTCTTAGATGTCATGTGACTACTCTCACCCCAAATATTTCTTCAGAAGCATGGTTGCTAGTTATCATCACAACATGTTTCAATTCAGCTTAGAATTTATCTTCCAGTCTGGAATTCGAAGACTAAGGCTTCTACAGCTGCTTTTATTATTTGAAATTCTACCTCATTCCTCTCTCTCCATGAAATTCTTCCTGATTGCTCAGTAGAACACATTCATTTAAAGATGATAAATACAAAGCATTTTTCTGAGAAAATGTAGAACGCTGTTAGTAGAGTTGGTTTCACTTCTTAGAAACTTTTCAAAACAATAACTATGCAATTTGTTATGTAGGATTTTGAGGCACCGAGGGCGCTTTGGAAATGTGTCTGTGGGTTGGCAGATCTTTCAGAATGATTCTGCTCTGCGGCCTGGACAGGAGTTCTATGAAACTTCAGGGACCGTTTACTTCATGGATGGAGACAAAGCAAAACCAATAATTCTCCATGCTTTTCCAGACAGTATTCCTGAATTCAATGAATTTTATGTTCTAAAGCTCATAAACATTTCAGGTGCTGTGTTTTTTTAATCTCTTATTTATCACCCAAAATTTGTATCTTATACTTAGGTAGTATAATTTTGTAGAAAATTAAGTTGATAGGTGTATCTTGATGGTCCGATTTTAAATAACAAAGTACCCTTCTGGATAAAGATGTTATGTATTTCAGTGCTGAGAATTCAGGGCATGCTAAGTACATACTTTGCCACTGAGCTAAGCCCTCAACCCCAAAGTGTTATTTTTACATTCATTTTGTGGTTTTAGCTGGGTTCAGTTTCATGGACGGAGGCTTACATCCATCCTAAAACTTACAAGCAGACTTTTTCCTCACCAAACAAAGTGTTCCCAAGAAAACATTAGTAGAAACTAAGAAATACAGATCATAGTTTACAGTTTGGCCTTTGTGCCATAGAGTGTTCCCCATCGATTTTGGTTTTAGTACAGAAATCAAATTTCTGTAGTTAATATTTTCTTTCCAGGTTTGACTGATTATTAATAAAATTATGAAGTATCAATATTAGTTGATATCATGGGCCTAAAATGTAATGAAGGCCTTATGGTAATACTATTGTTTATTGACAATGTTAGAAGTTTGTCTGCTAAACAAATTCTTTTCTAAAGTACTTAAAATGGAAAGTACTTCAAATTCTAGGTTTTCGCTCATAATTTTTTTTTATTATAGGTGGGTCCTCGGGTCCTGGGGGCCAACTAGCAGAAACTAACCTGCAGGTGACGGTAATGATTCCATTCAATGATGATCCTTTCGGGGTTTTCATCTTGGACCCAGACTGTTTGGAGAGAGAAGTGGCAGAAGATGTGCTTTCAGAAGATGACATGTCTTACATTACCAGCTTCACCATTCTGAGGCAACAGGGTGTCTTTGGTGATGTACGAGTGGGCTGGGAAATACTGACCAGTGAGTTTGCTGCTGGCTTGCCACCAATGGTGGACTTTTTACTGGTTGGAATTTTCCCCAGCACTGTGCACTTGCTACCACACATGCGACGTCACCACAGCGGAACAGACGCTTTGTACTTCAGTGGACTAGAAGGTGCATTTGGAATTGTTAATCCAAAGTACCACCCCTCTAGGAATAACACAATTGCAAACTTTACATTTTCAGCTTGGGTAATGCCTAATGCTAGAACAAATGGGTTCGTCATAGCAAAGGATGATGGTAATGGAAGCATCTACTATGGGGTAAAAATTCAAACAAATGAATCCCATGTGACGCTTTCCCTTCATTATAAAACTGTGGGATCCAATGCTACATACATTGCCAAGACAAGCGTCATGAAATATTTAGAAGAAGGTGTTTGGCTTCATCTTCTAATTATCCTGGATGATGGTATAATTGAATTCTACCTGGATGGAAATGCAATGCCCAGAGGAATCAAGAGTCTTAAAGGAGAAGCCATAACTGATGGTAAGTATCTTTCTAGGCAAAAATCCCCTTTACCCCTATCCCTTTTACCCCTTCCATTTGAGTATTTTCTTCCTATTTCCCAGTATACATTTTGGTCCTTATTTACTCTATCAGTTTTTCATGCTGGAGAAACAATGTGATATTTAAACACGTGTCCAATTTATTTCACTTAAGAGTATGAACTCTTTTTCTTTTCCCTTTTCCCCTCCTTCCTCCCTAGTTCCCCTTTCTTTTGAACAATTTCTACCTATTTTGCAATAATGTTTATATACTGTTGTAGTTTGGGGTTTGCAAGGGGGACAGTATGATACAGGACACATATTTTTATAAGATTATTTATAATAGCCACCCAAAGAATCACATACAAAGACAGTGCACGAAATCTGTCCACACACCAAAGACCAAAGATTCCAGCTGAGGGCCTGCATTCTATGAGAATGTCCTGCATGAAACCAGCTGAAGACCTAGAGCCCATAACAATGCCTCCCATCGGTCCAACTGGAGGCCTAGAGTCCATGACAATGTCTCATGCGGGCCTGTTCCATGAATCTGTGCTGGGAAGGCACAAAGGTCAGTAGTGGAAGCTAGAAAGTCTTTGCCATCGGGTTATGAGTAAAATAGCAATTTTCTATGTAAGCTGTATATTTGTAAACATCAATGAGGAATTTATACAATTACTGTAATTTTATTTTCCTGTTATATTTGTTATGTTTATTGAATATGCTATTTAATTTGTTGACTCAATAAAAAAATGAATCTTGTTAAAAAAATATAAAACTCCAGAGTGGAGCATACATACAAAAGAAAAAAGATTGAACTGTATTGATAGAGAAAATCATCAAACCACAAAGATGAACAACAACAGAAGAAAGAAATACACAGAACAACTAAGAAGAAAAAGAAGAAAACAGAATGACAGGTGTGTTGCATTTACTTATCACTACTAATCTTGAATATAATGAGTTAAATTTCTCAGTTAAAACATACAGAATGGCTGACTGGATGAAGGAGCTAGATTTGATGATATTCTGTCCACAGGAAACTCACTTCACCAATAAAGATGCACATACTGAAAGAGAAAGAGATACACTGTGCAAGCAGAAACAAAACCTAACCTACTGAATAAACAAAAAGCCAAGACAAATTAGCTATACAAAGTCCACTTTAAATTAAAATATGTAGTCAAAGGTCACTAAATATTGATAAAGAGATTCAATAAGAATTCAACAAAAGATGTTGTCATAAACTGTAAATATATATGCACCTAACAATGCTGCACCCAATTATATAACACAGACATTAGATCTAAATGGAGAAATAAGTTGTTATAAAGGAGGACTTTAATACCCCACTTCATTCAATAGATGGGACACCCAGACCCCCCCCCCCAAAAAATCAACAAAGAAACATCAGAGTTAAAATGTACTGTGGACAAAATGGACCTAATGGACATTTATAGAACATGTTATCCCGCAGCCAGGGAGTACACATTCTTCTCATCAGCACGTGGACTGTTCTCCCGGACTGATCATGTTAGAGGACACAAAAACCCTCAGAAAAGACTCAAAAAGTTAAAACTGTTGAATGTAACTTCTCTGAGCACAATTGAATAAACCTAGAAATTAACAAGAGGAACTTTAGAAATTATACAAAAACATGGATGTTAAATAGCATTCTCTTGAAAGGCCAGTGGGTCAATGACGAAATCAAAGAGGAATTTAGAAAATTATTCAAACGGGACTGGGGATATAGCTCAACAGCACAAGTGCCTGCCTGGCAAGTGTGAGGTCCTGAGTTCGATTCCCAGTACCAAAACAAAAACAAATAAAAAATTATTCAAACAAAGATGAAATTCTCACATATTAAAACGTGTGGAATGCAACAAAAGTAGTTGTTAAGAAGAAAATTTATAGCAGTAAGTGCTTCCGGTATGTGTGGGGGGGTAGATTTTAAATACATTGCCTAACAATGCAATTCAGGGAAATAGAAAAGAAAGAACCAACAAAATCCAAAATTAGAAGAAGGAAAGAAATAAAGATCAGAGAAGAAATAAACAAAAGAGGCTAAAACATGATATGAAATGTTAGTTAAATAGTTGGTTTTTTAAAAAAAATATATCAAAATAAAATCAGATGGGGAAAGGGACACTTTGCATATGATACCACAAAAGTACCAATAATCATTGGGGACTACTATGAACAGCTAAATGCCAAAAATTGGAAAAACCTAGAAAAATAAGATTTCTGGACACATAATCTACTGAAACAAAACCACAGGACTCAGAAAATGTAAACTATTCAATAGCAAGCAATGAGATTTAATTGGTGATAACAAGCATCCAGCTAAGTGGGGTGGTGCACCTGTAATCCCAGTGCTTAGGAGGCTGAGGCAGGATCTCCGAGTTCAAGGACAGCTACAGTTCAAGGCCAACCTGAATTGCATAGCAAGACCCTGTCTCAAAAAGAAAACAAAGAAAAAAACCAAAACCCACTACCAACAAAGACAAGGGCTTCAGAAAATCCCAGGATTTTCATTGCTGAATTTTACCAAACTTTTAAGGAGGAAATAATGGCAGTGAGACTCAAAGTAGTCCAAAGAATTAAAAGTGAAGGAACCTTTCCATACTCATTCTATGAAGCATGGATTACCAGAATCCCAAAACCAGCTAAGAAAATACATACAAAAACTACAGGCCAATATCTATAATGAACAGAAATGCAAAATCCTCTGGGAAATTGAATCTAACAGCACACAAAAAGATCATATTGTCAAGTGGGGTTTATCCCAGAGTTGTAAGGATGATTCAAATATGCAAACTGATAAGTGCATTACATCAACAGAATAAAAGATTAAAATCTGTATGGTAATCTTAATGGAAAAAGCATTCAGGAAAATTCAATAGTTCTTTGTGATTAGAAACCCTCAACAATTATATATAGAAAGAATATAGTAATAAAAAATTAAATAAGAAAGAACTGTATTTCAACACAATAAATGATACAATATATGACAACATGCTGGAGAGAAAACTAAACATTTTTTTCTGAGACCAGGAGCAAGTCAAGAATATTCACATTTACCATTCTTATTCAATATAGTATTGAAAGTCTTGACCAGAGCAATAAAATAAGAAATATTAAGGAGATCTAAGTAGAAAAAGAGGTCAAATTATCCTTGATTGCAGATACCATAATTTCACATGTAGAAAATCTGAGACTTCACCAAAACCAGAAGGCAAAAACAATGACAACAACATCAACAACAGCAAAAACCTGTTAAAAGTGATGAATGAAGTCAACATATATAAATAAGTAGCCTTTTCCTCTGGTACTGGGGATACACAAAAATGAATCCTTTTTCATCTTCAAAAATGAAAATGCTGAGAAAAAAGACAATAAAGCAATCCCATTTAAAGAGGTGTAATAATAATAATAAAAAAAAAAAGGGAATAAATTTGACCAAGGAAGTGAATGATCTCTGCAGTGAAAATTACAAAACACTGATGAAAAATTGAAGACACAGAAGAAAATGGACATCTCAAGGTCATGGATTAGAAGAATTAATATTGTTAAAATATGCATATCACCCAAAAGAATCTACAGATTTAATGTGATTCTTACTAAAATACTCACGATATTCATCACAGAAAAGAAAATCTTTGTAAAATTTGAACGCCAGAAGACTCTGAGTAGCCTGAAGAATCCTGAGCCAAAAGAACAAGGTGATAGTAATCAAAACAGCATGATGCATGAACATATGATGCATATGCCAGTGGAGCAGAACAGAAAAACCAGACATTAGTCCATATATCCACAGCCTTTTTGACAAAGGTAGCAGGATCATATGTTGGAGAAAAGAGAGTGTCTTCAAAAAATGATGCTGAGAATGTTAGATACCCATATGCAGAAGAAACTAAATCCCTCTTACCACATTCAAAAATTTAATAAACATAGATAAGGACTTAAGTGTAAGACCTGACACTTCAAAAGTACTCAAAAGAATGTAGGACAAAATGTTCAGGGCAGCAGTCTTGGAAAAAAATTTTTTTGATAGCCCCAAAAGTCCAGGCAACATAAGCAAACATTGATAAATGGATACTTAAAACAAAAAGCTTCTGTACAGCAGAAAAAAAATCAACACAGTGAAGAGACAACTTACAGAATGAGGGAAACTATGTGTAAACTATTCATCCAACCATGGATTATTTTCCAAAATAGGTAAGAACTCAACTCTACAGAAAATAATCCAATTAAAACATACACATATTATCTGAGACATTTCTCATGAACTTATAAAAATGGCCACCAAGTATGTGAAAAAGTGCTAAGCATCACTAATAATCAGCTGTCCTCTGCCAAGGCCTTTTCACCGTGGTGTCCTGCCCTAGAACCTGCCAAGGGTGCACTGAAACATCTACAAACTGGGAGCCAAAATAAAGTTCTCTTCCTTCCAGTTGTGGGTGTTGGGTATCTTGTCCTAGCAGTGAGGAAAGGAAGCAAGACACCAAGATATGGAATCAGTCTATCTGTGTAACAGACAAATGGATGGAAATTATGGTATGTACTGATATCTTTATAACTTTCTTATTTTGGATGGTTTAGCTTGTGACTTAAATGGTTGACACTGAAATTAGAGCAATACTGACCGTGTTTGTTCCAGAGGATTAGTGACAGAAGGAAAGCATTTAGAATGCTTCTGATTTGTATGGTGTTTTGCATTTATAAGGTGTTTCTTCATATTGCCAAAATTGAACTTCACTATAATTCATTATGTATTTAATAGATAAGAAAGTGGAGGTCACAAATGGTAAATAAATTAGGCAACATTCACAGGCAAACTAAGAAGCAAGACTTGAATCTAAGCTATGTTGCTTTTTGTACATCAGGGAACTGAAACTAAAAAAGCCACGATTATTTCTATAGCCTGAGTATATAGCAGTGGTGGCGGACCTGTGGCACATGTGCTGAGCGGACTGTTTGTATCATTGAAAACTCTAAAAGGTTTGCCATCACTGCTGTAGAGCCTCTTGACTGATCCAACTCATAACATGTAGTTTTATGAAAATGAGGGGGACTCAAACAGTTGCTGGGTAACTCAAGAGGAGAGACAGTATAGGATATTGCACCCTATTGGGAGTTCTGGTGAAGCAGTGGTTCTGGTTTTCTGCACAGGAAGGGAAGGAAGGTCATCTCTGTACTAGGCGGGGAGCAACCCTGATAATAATGTGCAGTATATGTGTGACTGCATAAAAGGGGTAGTCACACACAGGTAGGAACTTGTCCACTGGCTTCACTGAGACCATTGACAAGAAATGTTACCTGTACTTCTTTTCCTCCAAAATTGCTGCCAAGCTTTCATCTTACGTGAGTATTTTAGCTGAGTTATTAGAAAAGGAACGGGAAAGAAATAAGAACAGGTATAATCCTGAAAATGATTGTTATTGAGATACAGTGATAGAGGTGGGCTGTACTTCATTATTACAAGAAGTCTCTAATACTTGCATGTAATATTTTTGGGAAGAAATACTTCTATTTTTGTATTCATCCTACTAATTATAAAGCTATGTTTGACCCACAGCAGCTTTTTTCTTTTGCTGAATTCTCTAATTCGGGAGGAGTTTTTAACACATCAAGCTTTGAAGTTCTCAAATAATAATACTGACATTTTAAAGTTATGACTGAGCTAAGTCATTCTAATTTTACACGAGCAACTTGGTTTAAAAATATTACAGAAGAATTGTGTAACCAGATGTCTGCTATGCTACACACATGTGTAGGTGTATGTATATATTTAGTGATTTTTCTGTCAATTGCTCTTGACAGAGTGTGATAGTCCTTTAGAGGACATCATTTAATTTTCAAATACCAATTTTTTTAGTATAAAATATTATAAACCCTAGTAATTAGTCGTTTTTACCATAATAGAATATAACCTTTATTTAACTGTATAGTAGTTATGCAAAAGTGTTACACATCAAAAATATATCTCATTAAATTAGTCCCATTTTCTGAATCACAGTTGATATTTAGGACAGGATAGTTGTGGATATTGTAGTATTAAATCCCTGTCTAATTTCAGGTCCTGGAATACTGAGAATCGGGGCAGGCACGAATGGCCGCGACAGATTTACAGGTGTGATGCAGGACGTTAGGGCCTATGAACGGAAACTGACCCTTGAGGAAATCTATGAGCTTCATGCTACGCCTGCGAAGAATGATTTACACCCCATTTCTGGATATCTGGAGTTCAGACAGGGAGAAACTAACAAGTCATTTATTGTTTCTGCAAGAGATGACAATGAAGAGGAAGGAGAAGAATTATTCTTTCTTAGATTAGTCTCTGTGTATGGAGGAGCTGACCTTTCTGAAGAAAATACTACAGCAAGATTAATAATACAAAAGAGTGACAATGCCAATGGCCTGTTCGGTTTCACAGGAGCTTGTATACCAGAGGTAAGTAGCGAGCTCAGAGATTTTAGGGTTAGAAATTCATTTCGCGTGGATTTGCTTGGGACTGAGCTTTCCTTCATTTGGTAAGATTGCTCGGGCATCTACACTAAATTGGGAAGTGTGCTAGAGCCAGTGTTTGCAAATATGAATTACAATCCCTGCTCTTATGCGATCACAGTTTAAATAAGCTGAATGGGTTGACAGAAGTCGTAACAAGTCAGCAAATAAATCTTAGCAATTAGCTTTAAAGTTAATGCACTTCAAAAGAATGCATAATTACATGCTGGTGAAATTTAGTTTTGGCTGCCATATACGTAAATGAAATAATATGTACTAAAGATTCTATAAGTAAGTGTAGACGCAACTTTTATTCAGATGTGATTTGGGTTTTTTTTTCATATGTGAAACAGATAGTTACAGTGTTCTTCTATGTTGGGTGTAGATGCCTTTCTTATCAACCTTCTTGGCCGGTGTAATTCATTACATTGTTATACTGTGCTCATCAGTTCTTTGTAAGTTTTCAAAGATTCCTAATCGTCTTGGTTTCCTGCATGGAAACTGGAGATGTCACGGAACTCCTTCACAGGTGTTGTGTGAGACAGTGACAGGCTGATGTCCACAAAAGGCTGCCAACAAACAAGAGAGCCTTTACTTTTGCAAGTTGATTCTAATGAGTTTTAGTATATGTAAGTTGAAGGGATTAAGAAAAGGAGGGTGGGGGGGCTGGGGATTTAGCTCAGCGGCAAAAGCGCCTGCCTGGCAAGCGCAAGGTCGTGAGTTCGGTTCCCGGTAC